TAACCTTTTATTTTATTTATTTTTATGTGGTGCTGAGATTAAACACAGGGCCTCACCCATGCTAAGCAAGTGCTTTACCACTGAGCTACAACCCCAGCCTAAGATGAAAACATTTTTAAAGAAAACCTATAATTCTGGTAAGTGGCCAAGAGCTCTTACTAATCTCTCACCAACAAAAAATGACCCAAAGCTTCCGGCAATCAGGCCTATAAGTAGAACTGTATTTCTTACCTTTTTGATATTCAGTTTTGTCAGTGCAGGATAATTTCTTTATAAATTGAGAATATAAATCTGACTGGCACACAACTAAATGAAAGCTTCACGTGTGATCAAGTTCAAGAATCCCTGACTAATAATGAACTAAAGACTGAAATTCTGGTAAAGTCTGAGATAACATGCAATTTTTGTCTAAAACTCTACTTCTCTCTCAGAGTACAAGATGAAAAGTCTTTGATGTGCCTGTTAGAGTGATATATCATATTTGCTTATCTCTAGCAACTGAACATTCTATATAAAAGACTTAGAAAATCTAGTAGATTCTTTCTTAGAGGGAATACATGGGAAAAACTACAATAAGGGAAAATCTGAGTGGGCAGAGAGGGGAAACAAAGAAGAAACATAGACACTGAAGCTCGAAGGGCAAAGGAAAAAAAGTTAACAATATTAGAATGTAGGACTAGGGGTGTAGCTCAGCAATAGAGGGCTTACCTACCATGTATGAGCTTTATCCCCAGTATTGGGAAAAACAATATACCTTATTTCTAACCAGCCTACCCTTCCTTGAGTCCCACCCACTTCATGAGGAAATCTCAATAGATTACATGGCTACTGTTTTCCAAATGAAGCCAAAAATACACAGGCCAAGAGAACATTAATGAACAAAAATAGCATGGAATATCTGAAGCAGGCGCTCTTTCCCCAAGTTTAGTTATTTATGATTGTCAGTTTATCATATGCATACTCCTTTATAAAGGAGATAGAAATGCAGTTGTAAAATAGATCTCTGGCTATTCAAAGATCATATTCCAGAAATGGCCTTTAAAAAGATACATTTCAGCCAGCTGTGGTGGTGCACACCTATAATCCCAGTGGCTCAGAAAGCCGAGGCAGGAGGATTGAGAGTTCAAAGCCAGCCTTAGCGAAAGCTAATAACAAACTCAGTGAGACCCTGTCTCTAAATAAAAATACAAAATAGGACTGGGAATATGGCTCAGAGGTCAAGTGTCCCTGAGTTCAATCCCTGGCACTTACATAAATAGAGATATTTCATTGATTTAAATAAATATGGAAACATACTGAAAATACACTAAACAATTTTACACTAAACAAATTTCAGAACCTATTTCAAAAGTAGATTACATTTTTGGTTTTTACGTCTTAATGAACCCCTAAATCTGAACCATTAAGATATTTGGGTAGGAAAAAGAAAGACAGTAATTGGTTACAAGAATGCACTTGAACGCTCAGCATTCAATTATATTCCATTATTGTGTAATTTTAGATGGGTCCACACAATCTAAATGGGCCTTAGTTTTACTTCTAAAAAATAAAGTCCTTACTCCACCTTATTTAATAGAGATATTGTAAGGCATACATAATACAGGTCTTCTAAAATCTGCCTTGCAACCAAGCACTATACACAATGCCTTTTAATTTGGAAGAAAAACTACCTTACACCTATACTGGTAGGTAAGAATAAAAACTGAATGTTTCAAAGCTCCAATATGTTCTATGTAAAACTAAATACAAATGTCCCACCACAGAAAATATAGTTTATAAAATATAAGTCTATATTAGAAAAGTTTTGGTTCAAACTTCACTTGGATTTGCTTTTTGATACATACTGTATAAAATCATAATAAAATGTAATGGGAAAAGTTAAATTTCAAATCCTTTACCTTTATTTTAAACTTACTACATGGACTTCATTATTCCTCAACAGTATCTTAGATCCCTGGATCATTTGATGTCAAAATGCAAAATAATCTGTAAATGTTTTTACTGGGGGCAAGAAAGTCCAAGGGAAGACCAAGTAGTCTGAATAAAAATATAGAGGACAGATAATCAACTTTAGAAACAAATGGGCACAGACAAAACAAAAGGAATATCAATACTAACAGCAATAATGTTTGGCCTAGCATCTTTAAAACAAATGAATGCTGCTTGCTTCAGTAGCACATATACTAAAACTACAATGTTGTAAGAAAACTAGTACAGCCTTTATGCAAGGATGACTAGTAAATTCACAAACCATTCCACATTTTTGCACAGGTGGTGAAACTATTTTAGGGTGGTGAAACTATTCTACATGGTGCTTTGTGAGTATTATGCATCGGTCAAAACTCAACAGGACTGCACAACATGGTGAACTCCAAAGCAAGCTATAGACTTTAGTTAAAACATATTAATATAGGTTTATTGTTAACAAATGTACCATAGTAAAGTAAGATGTTAAGCAGAAAAATCGGTGGGGAAGGAAAGAGGGGACATATGAGAACCCTCTGTACTTTATACACAAATTTTCTAAGAACCTAAGATTTCTCTAAATGTCTAATTTTTTAAAAAGCTGAACTTCAAATAATGTCAATATCACAAACAAAAATCTAGCTGCATAAATTTAGCACCCTTTTTAAGAGACCGGGAGACAAAATGTTAATACCTGCATCTTTCTGGAGAGTCTTCTCTATCTTTCCTCCGGAACTTGCTGATGGTGTCATCAATTGTGCTTCCAATTTTATCACTCAGTTCACCTAATTTATCACTGAATGGAAAAGCACTCTTGTTTTTATCCCACTCCTCATCCCATTTTGATTTGGGTTCAGGATCATATCTTTCGCCTATATAACACATTTAAAAAAGAAACAACTCTAAGGACATTAAATTCAAAAGGTGTCTACACTTCTTATTTCTGAAGCTTTTCCTCATAATAAAATCATTTTCAAAGGAAAACAGAAAGCTCTGACAGTGCTGAATCAACACAATTATAGCAAGGCGCAGCATGTAATGCCAATCATTAAGTAGGAGAAATGCAGATTCAAAAGCTTTTGTTTATGAAAACTTTCACAATCTTAATGTGCAGCATTCAGGAAGTTCCTAAAGGCTGTTGAAAGTAGTAATAGAAAACAAAAAAATCAACACAAGTTCTACAAGCAAAAGAAAAATAGAAATCTTTTTGTTTTTCAAATATTACTTAATAATTGTGTTTCATTCCTATTTTCAATTTAAAAATTTTTAGAAAAGTATTAGACATCAACAGTGTCTTAAAAAAACAGAAAGTAAGGCAGGCATGCTGGTAATGTGCTTGCAGTCCCAGCTATATGGGAGGGGAGGCTGAAGCAGGACTGCTTAAGACAATGAGTTCAAGGCCAGCTTGGGCAACACAGAGACAGTCATTTCAAATATCAATCAAATCAAATCAGTCAATCTAAAGGAACTCCACCATGAATGCTACATGTTCCAATATGCTGGCATCAAACTAGAAAAACAATGAATTTTAAAGCATGGGAAAGTATTTTATAATTACTGTAAAAAGAATATTCCAGCTACTAAAAACTGTACACACTAGAGTCATATAGTATGATGATATTATACAGTCAAAGACCAAGTGGAAATATATTCTCAAACTGGTGAAGCCTATAGAACTTCTGTGTGAATCAGGGAATGAAGAGAAAAGATGATGGTAGTGTTTGAACAAAAGATTCAAAATGTTAAGATTTGTATTATTCCTTACTCTTTAGAACCCAATGAAGACACAAAATGGAATCTTTCCATTTCCATGTCCTAACTGAATTGAGGAAGCAAGAGTGGGAGTAAAGAAAGCAATCAAATTTAATAAAAAAAAAAAAAATCAAAAAAGTAGCTAACAGACCATTGTTTCCAACCTTTGTTAAACCAGTTTTTATGGCATACATGCCCTCTGGAGACTGTACAAATACAATTTGCTGAATTGTGGGCTAAAACTTCAAGGCTAAAATTTTCTGTAGTAAAAACATTGTACTAGGGTCTGGGGATACAGCACAATTAGAGTGCTTGCCTAGTGTGTACAAGGCCCTGGGTTGAATCATCAAAAAAATTTAAAAATCTATTTCTGGGTGTGTGTAACAAATGTAGAAGTGGTCACCAACTTAAGAATATATGATAACAAAACTTCAACCAGGAAAGGTTTTCAGAAGTAATTTTCTAATAATGTATGTGCACATTTCAGTAGCAATGTGATGAACTAGACTTTGAAAAGAAACAAATATACAAGAAAGATGAAAACCAAAATGATTACTATTGGTAAAGATCATACTAAATTAGTGCTTAACATAGTAGGTTTTGGTAAGACACTATCTAAATAAGAATGATAAAACACACAAAAAAGTTAAAATAATCAAAAAGGTTGCTAACAGACCATTGTTTCCAACATTTGTTTTTCGTTAGTTAAGTCTGAAAAACAATAATAATTTAGCAAAGAATGTGAAAGTTGTTTAACTCTTCTGTCAATACAGATGCTGCAATCAGTTTGCTGTGACTAAGTCTGAAAATTCTCAATTTTCTATATTTATCTGATATAAGTGCACATTGTAATAGTCCAAAAAAGGGGGATATGCAAGTAGAATGAGTAAATGAGTTGCATATAGCAATTTTTGTTCAAAATATATTAAATTTCTTTAGCTACAGTGAAAAAGCTAAAGAAAAAATACTTGAGCAAATAATACAAAAAGTTTTTTACTCTCCTCCAGAAACAAATCCAAAACATATACTGTAGAAAAATATTCTTGTCAAATTCACAAAACAATTTTTATGTGGTGCTTTGTCACTTAAGGGAAATTTTTCTGATAGAAATAAGCTGAGAGAGCAGTACTTTTTCTTTGAGAGTAATAAAAGGAACATAGAGATAATATTCTATGGGTAATCCCAAAGTAATAAACCTCAATATAATCCAAATAAAAATGAACTCAATTTTAGGTAGTGGGAACTAGAGTGTCCCCAAAAGCAACTGTGAAGATCCATAGTGCATAAACTGTCAAAGTTCACACAAGACAGGGTGAATTCAAATGAACATGCTGTGAAAGAAAATTCTTAATTTTGTGTATGCTTCAAGAACCAAGCATCCTATTTTTAAACTACTACATTAAAAACAAGCATTAGATATTCTAGTTGCTCCTAAATGTGTTAGAAATAACAAACAAAGCAACAGATCCAGATGAAAAAGTGATAGTACAGCCAGTAATCTTTTTCTCAAGTTATATATTGCTTCACTAAGGGAACAGAAACTGAAGCTGGATTGACTTGAAGGACGCATATGTGTTTGTGGACAAAAATGTGAGCTAAACCAGTTTTGAAATAAAACAATAAATCTCTTGATCAAACTTGGTATTTTTATGCTCTACAATATGAGTGAGAGAAACTACTTTTCTGAAGAAGTGTATACATCTGTTTTATTTTCTATACATTAATACAAAGTTTGCAGTTAGCTAATTAGTTAAAATCACATTCTTGAACCTGTAATAAAAACAAGACAGGAAGATTTCCACGATCCACGTGATTGCAGCCAAAATGAGTATCATGTGTATTTAGTAATCTGTATCTTCCTAGGAAAAAAATAGCATTTTGGTATTTAGTATTTCAATGATTCTTAAAATACATCTGAGAAACTAAACTGATGCTTAGATGCCATCCTATCTTTAATACTCACTGTATCTGAATCCTCCAACACTGTCTGAGGAAACCCCAACATATTTGTCTTTGTTCTTCTTTGCTTTCTTTCGCTCTTCACGAAGCCTGTCGTCATCCTGGGCAAATTCAACCAATTCCTTCACTTTCTGGCGAATATTTATACCTTGATCCTTGCCATGCTCATCTTCAGAATGGTAAGGAAGAAAAGAAGCGAATGAATTCATTTAATACACACCAAACTCTAAGACAAAAAAAAAAAAAAATAGTAATTCTACAAAATAAGAAACTAACTTCAATATTTTGAAAAATAAAAACAAGAGGTAGATTATGGTATTACACTGTGTCATTTCCTTTTTAGCAAATCCTATGTTCTAAAATGCAATTCTGCTTTACAGATCACAGATAATAGTACTGTGTAAGGTCAATTAAAGACCCACTAAAAATTAGGGTTAGTGAAGATGACCACATGAAATGAATATATCCATAAATGTTTTCTATTATATTTTAACAGAACAAATCAAAACAAGAACCACCTGAATATTTTAATGACTGAAAAGCACCCCAAATGTCTTGGTTTCCCAATACAAGTTTGGGAACACTAATTATGAGGACTTAGTGTAGCTGAAAAACTGAATTTTTTAAAGTACTAGGGCATGCTACAAAATGAAGTGTGCTTCATTCTCTAGCCTCTTTCACATTCAAAACACACTCTGGCCTTGCTGCCTTTGCACAGTAAATATTATTTGGTGGGAGGGGGGAAAACCCAGCTTCAAACAGATGTGTGTGTTTTGGAGCTCTAACCTTTTCTTCCCATATGATTAAAGCTATTCCTTTATGGACACCACAGGGGACCAGTCTCCAGTGCATATTTTAATATAAACCCGAACACTCATGTTGTGTTGGTTCTGTTGTTATTAGCCAGTCTTTTCTGCAAGTTCTTGTCTTCACTAATTAATACTCTAGGGCCCCACGTCTTGGATTCTGCACTCGTCACACAACCAGCAACAGTCACATTCTAATTAGAGCAGAGAAGCTTCTAAGCTGGTTCAGGTGACTGACAACTCCAACTACTGTTTTAATTTGCTTATAAGGTTTTTCTATTGCTCACCTACAAAGTGGTAATTTTCCAGGGATCGCAAATCATAAATGTGTTCTCTGGCACTTGTAACAACACGCTCTGATCCATTTCTTATGAGGTAAGCTAGAAGCAGCAAGGACTGTAAAAATATAAGGCATCAAATGATTTAACGAAATAAATTCTGGTAAAGCTTTGGTAAATGGTTAAAAAAATTTTCAACATTAGCAAATAAATAATCATAGTGGTGATGAAGAGGGTTTCTTTACTCTGTATTAGACTTTAAATACACATATTATCAATTTGAATTGATATTAAATCATATTATCAATATAGAGTACAATAAATATAAATTATCCAATAAGTCCTATGTCAAAATTTTAAAAAAAGAATCAATAATTCTGATGTTTAACAACACTGCATGATACAAATGAACAATGAAGCTTTAAAAAGAGGGCTCAGTTTTTACTTCTTTTGTAGGTATTATAGAACTCTGAATTAATAGAACTATCAAAATTATCTGGCATTTATATAAACCTATAGTATTTTCCAAGGTAAAATTTAATTTTTAGAGGTTATTGATATAGCATTTGCACCAAAAAGTTAATGCCAACTAATGAAAGAAAAAACTTAAGTTTTCAGGTTTTGCTAAAATGCAAGAATGGCTACCAATGAATATAGAGTAGTGTAATTATTCTGAAATAACATAGTAGTGACTCTTGAACAACTTTGTGAATACACCAAAAACTGCACTGAACTGTACATTTTAAACATAATCTTGTTGGAACAAACTTCACTGAGTTACATGAAAAAATGGTTAGGTTGTTGAAATTAAGGAACATAAAACCTCTTCCTATCAGTGATTTATTTATTTATTTTTAAATAATTTACCCAAGAATTAAAAAAACAAAAACAAAAACAAGCACCAACCACATCTTCAATTTCTGAAAGCATACTTACTTAATTTACAGAAATTTTACTATTTCATCATAAATACAAACAGAAATAAAGACAGTGAATGTTTCCAGAAACAAACATAAGAAAAAGAACTACAATATCATTAGTGATTAGGAAAATGCAAATCAAAATTACATTGAGATTTATTCTTACACTAGTCAGAATGGCAATCATCAAGAATACATATAATAAGCTGGGTGTGGTGGCACAGCCTGTAATCCTAGCAACTTGGGAGGACTGAGGCAGGAGGACCTTGAGTTCAAAGTTAGACTCAGCAATTTAGTGAGGGACTAGGCAACTCAGCAAGATGGTGTCTCCAAATAAAATATAAAAAAAGGGCTAGGGATGTGGTTCAGTGGTTAAGTGCCCTAGTGTCCTGGGTTCAATTCCCAGTACCAAAAAAAAAAAACCATAATAATAAATGCCGGAGAGAATGTGGAGAAAATAAACATTTCTAACATTTTTACACTGTTAGTGGGACAGTAAATTAGTATAATAACTAAGGAAATCAGTATGGAGATTCCTCAAAAGACTAGGCATTGATCCAGATATACTGCTCCTCGGTATTTACCCTAAAGAATTAAAGTCCTCATAACTACAGTGATATATGCATACCCATGTTTATAGCAGCACAATTCACAATAGCCGAACTATGGAATAAGTCTAGAGATCCATCAAAAGATAGATGAATAAAGAAAGTGTTGGATATATACACAATAGAGTTTTATTCAACTAGAAAGAAAAATGAAATTAATACCATTTGCAGGAAAATGAATGCAACTAGAGACAATCATGTTAAGCGAAATAAGTCAAAATCAGAAGACTAAGGGTCATATTTTCTCTTATATAAAAAAGCCAGAGGATCTCCTAAAAAAAAAACAAAAATCAAAGGGAGATCAACAGAGGAAAGGGAAGAGAAAAGGGACAAGGGGTGGAATGTGGAGAGGGAGGGAGGAAGTTCTGGGGAGTGATACTGGTCAAATTATGTTGTTATATTGTGTGAACACATAACAACAAATCCCATCAATTTTAATACACCAATAAAAAATGTAGGAAAGAACACAACAATAAAAAAGAAATAGATAACTAAAAGAGATTTTTAATCCTGAAAATCAGAACTTTCAAAGGTTCAAATATGAATGTCATGTCATTTTGTTATGTATTTTGAGTAGTAAAAAAAAAATATGGTAGTGTTGTAAGAACAAATGACACCTAGTTTTAGAATTGTGCATTACATGTTATCAGGAAAGGAATCTGATAAAGAGTGCATATATGTTCAAAATTTAAAAAATATTAGAATTTGAGTCTATAATGCCAGTGACTCAGGAGGCTGAGGCAAGAGGACTGCCAAAGCTAGCCTCAACAACTTATGGGCCCTTGGCCATTTAGTGAGACCCTGTCTCAACATTTAAAAAGGGTTGGGAATGTGGCTAAGTGGTTAAGCACTGTTGGGTTCAATTTCCTGTACCCCTGCCCCACAAAAAATTAAGTCTGTGTATTTAGGATTAAAAATCCAATTATTTTCTGAACTAATATTTTTTGGGTGCTGAATACTGTTAGAATCTTATTATTATAAATTAGGCAAATTTTTATGCAGTGATGACAAACTACATAGGACTTGATTTCATCTTAACTGCTCATAGACTAAACATGTATTATTAGAGATGAATTATTTTGATAAGTGCAAACATTTTTTATAGGAAAAATTTTCTTAAATATTTAACATTTAAAAGCTGAATTAGTTTTAAACATTTTACATTAACAATTGTTCTTTACAATGACTGATAAATAGAACACAAATAACAAATATGCTTCCTTTATGTGTTTTCGACTATTCTATTAAAGGATTTAGTGTGCTTCCAAATCACTTCTGTATGTGTGCTTTAAATTCTAAGCATTTGTTTTCAAGATGTTAGTTTATAAAATAGGCTTATGTTCATACCTTATAAACTCTTCTCCAATTCTTTTTGTTGTCTTTTAACATTCGAGACCAAAGCATATTCATAAGTTCTGGAAACTGTTCATACATAAAGGTAGCCCTGAAAAAAACAATGATTTTTCTCAAGAATTTGCAATATGTTAATTTTGACAGTAGATGGCAGGCTTGCTCTAAATTGTTATATTTCCCCCAAAGAGCTTAAAAAAGAATAAGCTTAATTCAAAAAATGTGGATGATACATTTTTTGAAAATGTTCTTCCTATATTTTAAACAATACCTATAATATCTGTAGGCACCACTAATTAATATCATACTTTGCAAGTTCTTTATTCACTGACACAGTGGCCCTGATATTCATCACAAAAAATTCTTTAGAACTTTACTTCCAAGTATTTTGTACTCATACTTCAAAATTTACATGGTAAGCTACAGTAAGTCTTGAAACTTCACCGAGAAAGAAAAATTGTGGGTTTTTTTTTTTCTGAGCTAATTTTTAAAGGGAATAGACCCTGTATAAAACTTTGTACATCATTATCTGAATAATTATGCAAAATTTATATTTGGCAGCTAGTTTAAAACTGAAAGAAAATTTCACATTTTTATGTAAAGATGCTTTGATTCTTTCTGCATTGCTGAGTCAAATTATCACTTACTTGGCAATCTCTCCCATGAGTTGCCCAGAAGGTCCCCAAGGATCATCATTCGTTGCTTCTCGAACCTTAGACTCAATCTCTGAATAATTCATAACCACATTGGTGCTGCAGAGAAAAAAATGCACGCACATACGCACAAAGATTAGCATCAAAACTGAGAAACACATGAAAACTTAATAATGACGCTACTGGGTGTCCTAATGAGCTACCTCTACAGGGTGGGAAAGAAAACATCTTTTGTGCACAAACTACCCCAAGGACACTATATAACACATTTAAGCTATCTTTAAGAAGATTTTACTATTCTACTATCCTTCAAGAATACAGATGAGAGACTGCATTAGAGCTGGCCTAAATTCCATAAAAAAATGGACTTGGTTAAATTAAAAAGAAAACTGAACATGCTAGAGTCTATTATGAAACTAAGTTGTCAGTTTCTTGATCAGACTTGGTTTA